TTGTGATCTTTCTGTCTCAGCCTCTGGAGCCACTGGGATTACGTGTGTGAGCCACCATGCCTAGCTCATGTAAAATTTTTATTTTATTTTGGTACTGGGTATTGAACCTAGAGACTTTCTACCACTCAGCTACATCTCCAGTCCTTTGTTTTATTTTTTAAAATTTTGAGACAGGGTCTCACTAGTTGCTTAGGGCCTCCTTGCTATGTGCCCAGGCTGGCCTCAAACTTGTGATCTTCCTACATTAGCTTCTTTTTTTTTTTTTTTTTAACATTAGCTTCTTGAGTTGCCAGGATCACAGACTTACACTACCATGCCTGGCCTCATGTAATAATTTTTAAAAGTCACAGTTAATGCAAACAAATCCATGATGAATAAAATACCTAATTTTAAATACATACTGTTTAGTTTTCCTTTGCCTCAGGTTCTGATATGGCTGACACAATCCTGTTTTACTGGTCCTGTCCAGGACTCACTACACACTTTGAGGGGCCCTTCCTTTAAAACTTATTAAAAACTTCAAAATGGCAACAGCAACACGTTTAACCCTGTGGGAGGCCCAATAAGACCAAGCAGGTTGTGCAATCATGAAGTCTGCCCTGATCCTGTCTTTGGTTAAAATGTTGATATTTTGTTCATCATGGGATTTGGGGTTGATTTTTATTTTAAAAAATACTGCATAAGCCGGGTGGGATGGCGCATGCCTGTAATCCCAGCAGCTCGAGAGGCTGAGGCAGGAGGATGGCGAGTTTAAAGCCAACCTCTGCAACATAGCAAGGCCCGCAACAACTCAGTGAGACCCTGTCTCTAAATAAAATACAAAAAAAGGGCTGGGGATGTGGCTCAGTAGTTAGGCACCCATGGTTCAATCCCTGGTAGCCAAAAAAAAAAAAAAAATTACATGAAAATATTGATAGTGACTCCTGAGGTTTGGGGTGCCTCTGTTAGGTGTGTGCCAAGGGCAAGTGCCTTGCCCTCCTCCCATAGGTCTTCTCTGCTTAGTGTGAACTTCCCAGCCTCAGGTGACCTCATGTAGGAAGTCTTCCCTGACCCCCACCCAGCCCTGCACTGGGACAGGTACTTCTGGGCTCCAGCTCTGCTTGGCTTCCTTCCCTGACCAGAGAAAATGAGTTTGTTTGCTTCTATGTCCCCAGCATCGGGCCTATCCCAGCTTTGTGGCTCAGGATAATCTGGTTTTGAGTGATAATAAGTTACCTATTAGTGATGGAATTCTGTCCACATGAGGCCTTTGGGACAAGCAGCAGGCCCTGGGTGACACCCTAGTGGGTAACCCTTGAGCAAGTCTCCATCTCTGAAAGTACCCAGTGGAAGCAGAGCCAGCTCCGCGGGCACCTGACCTATTTGTCCCCACCCCACCCATGGGAACCAGGGCAGAAACAGCTCCACTCTAGGTGGCAAGACAGACATCTGGCCAGGATGTGGGGACAGGTCAGTGCTGTGGACCTCAGATGATGGTGCTGCCTACCCCAAGGCCTCTTGTGGACCTACTCACTGCACAAACCTTACTGAGTTCCTCAAACCTCTGAGCCCAGCCCTGAGCTGAGTCCCCTCACCTCAGTCTCAATAGCCAGGCTCCCTGGTTTGTTCCTGGGACCAGGAATTGATCCTTTCTATTTCTCAGTCCACCTCTGCCCATCTTCCAGGGCGGAAACCCTATGTCTGGGAGCTTGGGCAAGCTGCCCATGGGCCTCACCTGTGCTCTGATCCAGCCCTTTAGACCCCCAACTGGGACTCCCTCAAACCTGGCCACCATTTGTCCATCTCCCTCTCTTCATTGCCCAAATACTTAGAGGCCCTTGCCTGGGGCCTGGGCAAGGTTAACAAAGTAATCGACTTGTAGACTGTGCCCAAATTGTGGGCAACTCCCAGAGTCCTTGGAAACATTGATGCCAGTATGAGCCTCCTAATCTCATCTGGCTGTGATCCAGGAATCCAAGCAAAAAGACCTGGCTGGATCCAGGTCTGTCATTCTCAGGTTGTTAGAGGCTCTGTATCCTCAGGTGCAAACGCCTACCTCTCAGCAACGTGATGGGAACCTTTCTCCCAAGTTTTCTCTGGGGACTCAGCCTGGTTAAGTGTACTCCGGGGAGGATCCCCTTCCCCTCGCTACTCCTCCACATACTCAATCCCAGCTAAAGAGATGAGGAACCTGAGGCTCAGCAGGAACAGGGACTTTCCCAAAGTTACGCTCAGAGTCAGAGGTGAGCAGAGTAAAACCCTGTGGTGACTCAGCCACGGCCAGCTCTGTGGGGGACAGGGCCCTCTCCTCCCCTCCTGTTTCTCCAGCTGGTTCTGAGAAAGGCTGAGCCAGTGAGGAACATCTGCAGCACAGCATCAGCTGTGGGCTCCACCCCCATCGCAAACACACACACACACACACACACACACACACACACGGAGTCGAGGGCTCTTTTGGTGCTTCCATGAAAGGCGTGTTTCCCTCCTGAGTCAGAACAGACCCAGAACAGACGGCCTTTGGGTCTGGCTGGGCTGCAGTCCCAGAGCGCCAGCCAGCCTTGAGAGTCAGCCCCCACCCCCTGCTGGAACCGCTGGGCAGCGGCCAGCACAGCTGCATCCCTTCAGCAGGCCCCGCAATGATAGGCCCACGTTGCATCAGCTCGGCCTGTCTCTGCGCAGCTCCAGTCTCCACAGCCAATGAGGCCTGGCCGAGTATGCAGACCCCAGCACTGGCCCACCCCACCCGCCACCGAGTCACAGGGATCCCGCTGCTGAGGCCTGTCCCCCTCAGCACTCTCAGGAAGGGAGGAAGGGAAGAGGAGGGCCACTGCTCCATCGCATCCCCATGGCCTTTCCCCTGGGCCCTACCCACTCCCGCAGCCCTGCTGGCTTCACCTTCCTTCCCCTCCTAGGAGCCGATTCCTTTGCCAAGGCCCTGCCTCTCCCCAGCTGCTGCCTTCCTACCTTCTCTACTTGCTCTGATCCATTACTGTCCCTGCCACATTGTCATCTCCAGGCTGGCCTTCTGTCCCTAGTGCCAGACATGGGACACTACAGCCCCCTGGATGTCTTCAATCTATGCACAAGGGAGCTCCCCATCTCCCACTGCCTTCCGCAGAGTCTTCAGGAGAGGGTCCATTGCCACCTGCTCAGTTGGCAGATGCCAGACAGGCCTTCTTCCCTCCTCCGCCCAGACCTTCCCTATTCAATCCACAGCCAGGCCCTCCACAGCCCAGTGGTGTCTCTCCAGGTCCGGGCTCCAGCATCTTGCTCTGGGTTATTGTGACATTCTCCTCTCCAGCTCCCCCTCTCACTCCCCACTAAGCAGGTCTGGTGGGAGGGAAATCCCAGGTCTGGCCAGAGGGCCCTCAGCTCCAGCTCCAGTCTTCCCAGGGTGGTGGTGAGTTGGTCCAAGCCACAGGCTCCAACACCTCCTGGCACAGACTGCAGTTTCCCCAGCCCTCACTCAGGCATGGCGCCCAGAGGTTGGAGGATGACCTCCCACTGGATGTCCCTTTTCTATTCATTTTACCAATATTTAAAAACTGATTATTAAAGGAATTCAGAGAAACTAGCTACTCCAGAGGCTGAGGCAGAAGGATGGCAAGTTGGAGGCCAGCCTGGGCAACTTAGTGAGGCTCTGTCTCAAAATCAAAATAAAAAGCCTGGGGATATAGCACTTGCCTAGCATACCTGAGGCTCTGGGTTCAAACTCCAATACTAGGAAAAAAATTTTTTCTTTTTCTTTTTTTTTTTTAAAGAGAGAGAGAGAATTTTTTAATATTTATTTTTTAGTTTTCGGTGGACACAACATCTTTGTTTGTATGTGGTGCTGAGGATCCAACCTGGGCCGCATGCATGCCAGGAGAGTGCACTACCGCTTGAGCCACATCCCCAGCCCCCATTTTTTTCTTTTTTCAGAGAAGCACAGAAAAGATTTGATGTGTATTTTCATCTCTGGAGATAAACACTATTGAGCCATTTGAATATTTCTTTCTAGACTTTCTCTATGACTACTATACACACTGATACACACTTTATTAATTATTTATAGTAAGCATTTTAAAAAGAAAACTAACCCAGGCCTTTAAACATCAGGAATTTTTTTTAATTAAATAGAAGTCACCCAATAAGCAGCACTGACATTTATGAAATGTGAACACCCTTCCAGACATCTGTAGCTCTGCACATAAAATTTGCAGAAAATGCTGTTTTGTTTTTAATGCAACAATCCATTGAGCTCAGCCCTCTTTCTCTGCCTGAGGATTACAATAGCTCCTCCCCCTTTCTGATGTCTGCCAATATTCCCTCCCTTACTGATCTTGTCTTCAAAAAAGGCTCTGATGAACATTCTTGTACATGAATCTGTGCTCAAAACTAAAGAATCATTTCCCTAAGCTAGATTTTTAAAGAATTTTTTTTTACAAAGAACACAAATCATTTCAAATTTTAAAAATAGGTAAATAGGGAATACATTCCTACAGTCCAGAAATTTATAACAGATGAAAAGAAAAGACTCTTACTCTGCCTTCCCTCCAGTTCTCCTGCTGCCCTGCAACCAGTGTTATCAGTTTCTCAGTGACTCGAGAGCCACCTGAGCTTACACATTCTTCCACATGCTGAAATTAACTCATTTCAGAACATAAAGAATTTCCTCACCTGGCACAGTGGTGCACACCTTTAATCCCAGCAACTCAGGAAGCTGAGGCAGGACGATCACAAGTTCAAGGCCAGCCTCAGCAACTTAGCAAAGCCCTCAGCAATTTAGCAAGACCCAGTCTTGAAAAAAAAAAAAAATTAAGAAAAGGGCTGGGGATGTAGCTCAGTGGTAAAGCAACCTTAGGGGTTTAAGGTTTTGTTTTGTTTAAAACCAAAAACAAACAAACTACCCCCCCACCCACACCGATTTCCTCACTTTTTTTTTTCCCAGCTTCAAGGTATTTCCACTTATATTTATGAATAGTTGTTTCCAATTTTTGCTATTATAGACAATGTGGCAGGAAATTATTCTATTTTATATGTTTCTATTTTATTTTTTTAACTATTTTTAAAAATTTCTTACATACATGACAAAAGTGGAATGCATTACAATAATAACTATCCATTCACAACACCATTTTTTTGTAACTCTGTATATAAAATATGTTCGCTCCAAATTATGCCATTATACATGAGCTCTATTATTATTATTATCATTATTATTATTATTTGCATTACAATTCTTAATACACCACTAAGGTGTTTTTAAAAGCTTGCATAAATATGACTTTTATGTCCTGATTTCTCTTCTGACCAGGAATGTATGTGAAACCTTCTTCCTGTTTAAAATCAGATCCCTTGGATCTACCCAGACCCTGCTTATATCCCCGTGTTTCAGATGAGAAGACCGAGATGCAGAGAGGCACATACTTTTCCTGGTCACAGTGTGAGTGGAGATGGAGACAGACCCTGTCCCAGACTTCCTGACTCCCAGGCTGAGTTCTTCCAGCTGGCCAGGTTGCCATCTCTACCTGTACCTCCCAGGGAAGTCCTCACTGTTTTCCTGGCCCTCTATTAGCTTTCCATGTATATGCGAGGTCAGGAATGAGTGGACCTGTCAGGACAGTACTCAGAAGACAGAGCAGGAGAGGGCTGCAGCAGCTTCCTTGTGTGGCGGGTTCGACCCATTGGGGAAGAGGTGAAGAGAGATGTGTGGAGAGGAGGTCTGACGTCATTCCAGGTGTTATTCCATCTGTGCTTCTCATCAGCCTTGAGAGCAGCAGTCCTGTTTACAGAGGGGACGATTAGATCATGGGCACATAGCCAAGAAGTGGCAGAGCTGAGACAGGACTCCAGGTCTCCTGAGTGGGTGCTGCTCTCTGGACTGAGCAGATTAGAGCTGGGCTGGGAGGTTGTCAGAGCTCAAGGTCCCTTTTTTGAGCATCAGAGATACAAGACAGAGGTGACAGCCCTGTGGCCCACCTGAGCATCATTATTATCATGTGAAGAAGCCCCTGGGGGAGAGGACAGCTAGAAGGAAAGAGAAAGGGCAGGGTGGTATTTAATGATGCCTGTCCCATCCTGGCCTTGCTTGCTTCCTGGGCCCTTTCCGTGAATGGCCAGAGGAGGTCAGGGAGGCAGAGGCTGAGAAGAGGCAGGACTCCTGTGCCCTCACACACATGACTATCAGGCACAGGGGCTACATGTGGTGCATTTGGATTGCTGGAGATGTATGTGTGTGCTCCTCACAGCCACGTGGACAAGCACAGCGTATCAGTGGGCTGGTATCCCTGGAGATCATGCGTGAAGGCAGTGGATTTCCTGTGGCTTCCCTAGGCACCAGAAAAATGCCGAGGGGTGGGGGTGGAGGCGGGCCTGCTCCAGGAGGAGGGATGAATCTGTGCCCGCCTCCTTACCCCCAGAGTGGCCTGCTGCCTCCCTCACTCCTACGTGGCAGCATGCAGGACAGTCCTTTTGGACAGAAGGCCCCACGCTCCATGAGAGGGAATCAGAGATTGCAGAGCGGCGTTTTCCTGACTCATGCCTTGGCCGGAGAACACACTTGGCTCTGGACAGCTGTCACGGAGGAGCAGCCTGGGGGTGGCCCTGCCTCCTCCAGGGACAGGATCACTAGAACTGGTTGTCAAAGCCTTTCTGGCCCAGCTTTATGCCACATAAAAAGGAAAAGGGGATTAAACCTCTCTCAACTAACGTCCTTTAGTTAAACTGAGACATTAGCCAGGCGCAGTGGTATGCTCCTGTAACTCCAGCAACTCCGGAAGCCGAGGCAGAGGATGCTGGGCAGCACGTGGACGGACTGGGCACTTACATGACACGCTAGTTTCTGTCCTAGGAGTCCATGGGGTGAGGGCTGAGTGAATGTGGCCATGGCTGTTTGCGTAGTCCTTGGCAGAACCGGAGCCTGCCTATCTCACTGGTCAGCTAGAGAGGGTGTGCGGGGAAAGAGGGCCCAGGGCGCAGACTCCATGGCCCTCCATCTCAGATTTGCTATGTGACCTTGAGCAAATTCCTGCCCCACTCTTGGTCTCAGTTTTCCTCTCTGTAGAGTGTAAATGCAATTGGACTCCCTGGTCTTCTACTCCCTGCTGTCTGGGGACCTTTCCAGCTGGGCTCCTGTGTGCAGGGTAGTAGAAAAGATTTGCAGGCACTTGGAAGAATCCTGACACGAAAGAAATCCTTGAGAGTTTCTCTGCATTTCAGAATCTCCCCACACCCGCCCCCCCTTCAAAGAGTTCTTTTTCCAGAAAGTACAGCCTGGAATGTGGGGGAAGGGCCACAGTCAGCCTCTGGGCTGGGCTCAGAGCTAAGAATAATGTGGCAAAGGCTCTTGACATTTTTTTGCTGATGCTGGAAATTTAAAGGAGCCGTGGCCTTTCTTTCCTCCAAAAGGCCATGCTTGGCGGGCAGTAGACTTGGGTCGGCCACTGCGCATCACTCACTGGTGCTGGCTGGCTGTGTGTACCAAGTGCTTCTTCTTCTTCTTCTTTTTTTATTTTTATTTTTTTATTTTTTGTAGTTGTAGATGGACAGAATGCCTTTATTTTATTTGTTTATTTTTATGTGGTGCTGAGGATAGAACCCAGTGCCTCACGCATGCTAGGCAAGCTCTCTGTCACTAAGCTATAGCCCCAGGCCCCAAGTGCTTCTTTTGTGCCATGCCCTGAGCTGGGACCTACCGATTCAAGATGAGAAGGGTGAGGCCCTGCTCTTCCAAAATCTCCAGGGACATTCATTCACTGACAATCCAGGATGATAACATTGAGATCATGTAGCACGATAAGCCGTGGAGGAGGCTTCTGGCCTGGTCTGCGCTTCAGTATGGGTCTGGTGAGGCTGGCAGAGGGACTTCAGATACAGATCCCCCACCGGCCCCCACTTCAGCTTCCCTATCTATAAATGAAGAGCCTCAGTCCCCTCTATTCTTCACCTTTTAGACATCTGGGTTTATTTAACAGCATAAGCCTCAGTTTACCCCTCTACAAAATGGAACAGTCATAGTACTCTCAGCTTTCCCCTCCAATGTTGGTGGGGTCGAAGGGCCTAAGAAAGCTGAGATATGTAAGTGTACAGAGGAAGAGAAGTCTTTTTTTTTTTTTTGGCAGTACTGGGAATTGAACCCAGGGGTGCTCTACTACTGAGCTACATCCCTAATCTTTTTAAATTTTGAGACAGGATCTTGCTAAGTTGCCCACACTAGCCTCAAACAATCCTCCTGCCTCAACCTCCTGAGTTGCTGGGATTATAGAGGTATGTGTCACCATGCCTGATAGAAAGGAACTCTTGATGAGACTTTGACATTGGAATCTGCTAGAGACCAAGGCAAACCTCCACTAGCTTTGATGAGCCCTCTCTGTCCCTGTCTCAGTCCTTAGCTTACTGACGAAGTCATGAGCTCACCTGGGGCCGAGGTGGGGGTGAGGGTGGAGGATGGGGTCTGCTGGGAGATCCAGGCAGTGTCCATATATCGAAGGATCTCTCCTTATAGGCAGACACAGTTGAAGCAGGACACACACAAGAATTAGGATAGCTACCCCAAAGAGATGGACACTACCCCAAGGGTGGAAGCTTTTGTGAATCAAAAGGATTAGACTTGTCCTCCAAAAGAATACTGGGCTGTTTCTGAAGGCCACAGGGTTCCCTGTAGAGAGAGGTACCAGGTACCTGACATTTTAGGATATAGCAGAAAAGACTTCTGCCTGGTACTTGTAGACAGGAGTCTATGCCATTTGACATGCTTTGCCGCTCAGAGTTTTTAATACTTTTATTTTAAGATCCTTTGAACCCTTAGCTGGGCTCAAAGATTCTATGTGGCTTCAAGAGTAAGATCATGTTGTATGGTGGTCACTTTAGGATTCAAGTAATTGGTGATCCCTTGACCCTAATTCAGAGTCTGAAGCTTTTGAGATCTAAGATTTCCCGTAGTCCCTGGAGTCAGAAGACTGAATAGCAGCAGCCTAACCTTGATCCAGACTGAGAAGCTAGTCTCCCCTTGCAGATGACTGAGGCCAGGGACCCAGAGGATGCATCTACTGGGTACTGGAATTCATTTGCTCTCCAGGATCTGACAAGGACCTGGAAGAAAGAAGGTGCTCAAACATTTTGCTGACTGAATGAACGAGTGACTAGTAGTGAGTGAAGACAGTCTCTATACTCTGTCCCTTCCTCTCCATGCTGTGCCCATTAGTTATCTAGTGAAGAGGGTTGGGGCGGGGTCTACTAAACAATTTGTCTTACTGAGTTCTCTACTAACATGCACATACCCCTCACAATGGACATCCCCGAGGTCAGGGACTTTGTCCAGTGCCAGAACAATGAATACCCTAGGTTAATTCAGAGCTCAAGGTACTATCAATTGTGGGAGGGTGGGGTGGGAAGGGTTGATAGTGAGACCTGGAGCCTGTGGGAAGGCATTGAGACAGGGAGGGGTGCAGGGACAATGAACTGGAGATAGAAAAAGGGAAAGAGGGGAAAGAAGAAAAAGAAATGACTTAGCACAGTTTTTTTTTTTTTTTTTTCATTACTGGGGATGGAACCCAGGGTCTCCAGGCAAGTGTCTTACCACTGAGCTACAACCCCAGCCCTTTTTGTTTTTTTCTTAAATTTTGAGACAGAGTCTCATTAAGTTGGCCAGACTGGTCTTGAACTTGCCTTCCTCCTGTTTCAGCCTCCTGAGTACTTGAACGCTCCGTTTAGCACCATATTTCAGTCAAGGACTGTGGAATGGAGAACTGGGGCTAGTTAGATGGTGATGGAGCAAACCTGAGGGGTAGCACAGAGAGTTGCACAAGGATGGGGAGTCAGAGCTGGAAAAAGTGCAGCACCCCTAGAATTTCAGGGAAGGGGTGGTGGCAGAGATAAGACAGAAAGTCACATAGTACAGTCCTTAGTGGACAGCCAGGGGTTTTCCTTCTGTGTACCTCTCCATGCCCAGCAGGACCACCTGATGTTCCCCAGCAGTCTTTGCCTTGATCACTCCAAGACCTGGACTTTCCAGGGTGAGGGGCAGGTACCTGGTCTGGTTCAAGCCCTCACTATCTCAGAATGGCCACTGACATAAAGATCAGCTGAGGATGAAGACTTTAGGATCAACCCAGAACTGAAGGGCACTGACTCCTAAAGTCTGACTACCTTCCCTGGTGCAAAGAACAGGGGCCCTGACTGAGGAGAAGCAGGGATTGGGGGACCCAATTAAGTTTCACCTTGAAAAAGTGAGAGTGGAAAGGGGCAATGGATGTACTCCGAGCAGAGCAAGGAAAGGGGTGCCAGAGAGAATGTGAGATCAGGAGCGGGTTGGCTTGCCTGGAGAGCCTGGAGACGAGACGGGGCTCCAGTCCAGGGAAGCTGGACCTTGAAGCCTCTTCCAGCTCAGTGGCCCGAATCCCTGTCCCCCATCTCCAAGACCACCAGGGTCCCCAAGTCTCCACGGCATCAAAAGACACCGGTGTGCTCTGAAGGACTAGTTAGTCACCGTGGGGGGACTCACTGATGCCTCACAGCCCAACTAGAGAAGGGGGACAGTAGGACCCAGGGGCCTGGACAGCGCCTCAGCCTGCAGACAGAGGGCGGGAGGCAGGCGGTTAGGGGGAGGTCTTTGGCTTTTTTTTTTTTTTTTTTTTTGGTGGAGCTGGGGCGCCCTGCGGAAGCCTTTTCCAACTTTCCAGAAGTTTCTCGGGACGGGGGCTGGAGGGGGTGGGGACAGCCATATATAGATCTGGGGCCTGAGGCAGCGGGCGGAGAGTACAGTCAACCCAAAGCAGCCCGGTGGTGAGACGCCCGGTCCCAGAGCCGGCCCGGCCCAGGTGAGGGGCAGGGGCGGCCGGGGGAGCGCTCAACAATTTTGGGGTGCTTAGGGAGAGGGGGCGGGTGGCCTTTAGGAGGCGTTGGGTCCAAACCAGAGCCCCTAAAATGAAGTTCCAGGCACTTGGGGCAGCTGGAGCATCGTGAGGGGGAATCGCAGCCTGGAGGCGATGAAGCCATACAGACCGGCAGGGCGCAGGGAGCACGGAGCAGGGCTGGGACGGGGATCTGTGCACTCTCGGGGGTTGGGAAAAGAGCAGCGCCCCTAGAAGTTCCGGGAGCCGGTAGTGGCAGAGACAGACAGTGGGGCTGGGAGTTGGGGTGCTGAACCGGACCCTCCGCAAACAGGAAGGAGGAGTTGGGGCCTTTCCTACAGGGATGCGGCTGGTCAGCTTGGCAGTTGGAGGACCAGGGTCCTGCAGTGACTGATTAGTCACTCCCAGGCTTGATGGGGGTCATCTGAGCCTAGGAGAGGAGGTGAACCGGTCTCGGCTTTTCCTGGGGTGTGAGGTCCTGGCTTTTGGGGTTCCATGCTTCAGGAGGAATCACCAAAAGGGGCTCCATTTCTGATGAGGGTGTGTGTAGAGCATGGCAGCTGAGGGAGAGATAAGCAGCCAGCCCCCCTCCCCCTCAAAAAGGGAGTGGGAGTCTGCAGGGTCTTATGTAGGGTGGGGGCAGGGACTGGGCCGAGAGACCCACTGGAGATGTGGGAGTCATCCACCCTTACTCTGTCTACCCACCTGGTTCCTGAAGGAACTGCAGGGTTAGGGCTTCGTCAGACGCTGGGTTTCCCTACCCCCAGCTTAGGGACATTCCTGAGGCATCTAGAGAGGGGAAGAATGAAAGCACTTCCAGCCTGGCCTGAAGTCCTGGCCCCTCCTCTTCCCTGGTTTCCTGCTGCTGGTCCCTCTGCGCTGCAGGGCTGCAGGGCCCGGATGGAGGCCTGGAGAAAACTGGGGGCTTTGATTGCCTGGAAGCTTGGACTGGGGCCACACCCTCTTGTCCTCTGATCCTTTGTGTACCCATCCCCCTTTCCTGCCCTGGCCTTTGTCTCTGGTCACCAGGATTCCTAGCAGACTTTTGTTGTTCTGGCTGTGCAGCGGGACACCACCTGTGGCCTTCAGGAGGGTTCTGTGAGTGTTTCTGAATCGATGGAGCCCTGTGCTAGGAAGTCTGACCTCTATTTGTCCTTGTGGGACCTGGGATAGTCCCTGCCAGATGTGCCTCAGTTTCTCCCACTATACAGTGACGTGATTCACCTCTGAGGTACCTGGAAATCTGGAACGGGTGCCCTTTGGGGGCTGGGCCTGGCCCCTACTCCCAACCTCCCCTTTGTGGGGTCCCATTGTCTTCACTCTTCTGTTTTCTTTCAGAATGAAAAAGGCAGGCATTGACCTCCCTCT